AGTGAAAATATCTAGCACTTGTAGCAAGCTTTTTTATTCGAAAGCGTAATTTCTCGAGCGATGCCTTCGCTTTGCCCCGTCGTTGGCTGTTCTAACCACAAAATGAAGAATCCAGGGCTTTGCTTTTGTCGGGTGCCAAAAATTGTCACCAATCAAGGGGAAGAAACCGAGATTTTGTCCGCCGAAAGGCAAACTCGGTGGTTAGCTGCCATTAGTCGAGCTGACTTGACGGAGAAAATTCTAGAAAATGACCGAGTTTGCGGTATTCACTTTCATTCGGGAAAAGCAGCACAATTATGGGATCGATCAAACCCAGACTGGGTTCCTAGTTTGCATCTGGGGCACGACAAGCTAAAGGAATCCGACGAGAGGAAAGAAAAACAACAACAAGAAAGAGCACAAAAGATTACCGAGAGGAGAAAACGCGAAAGAGAACGTGAAGAGAAGGAAGCTATGCAAAGGAAAGCTGTAAAGGTGAATGAGCCTAGAGAGCGAATAAGAGATATTTATATGGTAAATGAAGAAGAAACTTTTGGAGAAACCAGAGAGGAAGACAAAGAAGAGAAAGCAAGCGTTGAAAACATTGCCTCAACACAGATCGATCCAGAGGGTTACAGCCGATCGTGCAGCACTCAGACGGAGGAGTGTGACTTCATGTTTAGAACACAAAAAACGTGGCTGCCTCAGAAATCCACTGCTTTTGAAGAAGATTACTTTGAAGGAGATAATGAGAAAGTGCGTTTTTATACCGGATTGCCGTCCTTAGAGATATTAAAGAAAAACTTCTCCTTCCTGTCCCCACGTGTAACCAGACGTCCTCTTCTGTTGAGTAAATTTCAGGAGATTGTCTTGGTTCTCATAAAATTGCGTCTCGGGGTACCAAATCAAGACCTTGCATATCGCTTTAATGTATTTAGGACAGTAGTCTCAAGAATTATTGTCAGCTGGTTGACTGTAATGGATGTGACATTATCATCATTAATTTCCTGGCCAGATAGAGAACAACTGCAGAGGACAATGCCAAGGTGTTTTATCGATTCATTTGGACTTAAAACATGTGTTATTATTGACTGTTTCGAAGTTTTCATTGACAGACCATCGAACTTATTGGCAAGGGCCCAAACATTTTCTTCATATAAACATCATAACACTGTTAAAGTCTTGGTTGGCAGAACCCCTCAGGGTACCATTTCATTCGTGAGTGAGGCATGGGGTGGCCTTACATCCGATAAATTTCTCACACAGAAATGTGGATTTTTAAAGAACTTAGTTCCTGGAGATCTTGTCCTTGCCGACCGAGGGTTTACGGTCCACGAAGAAGTGTGGTTTCGCCAAGCTGAAATCAACATCCCTGAATTTACAAAAGGCAAAAATCAGCTAGATCCTGTAGACGTTGAGAAAACTCGAAAAATTGCCAATGTCCGCATTCACGTGGAACGTGTCACTGGCGTCCTTAGACATACATACATACATACATACATACATACATACATACATACATATACTTTAATTAATCTCGAATTTGGAGTAGCTAAAGAATAAGCTAGTATCTTCGAGTTACAAGTATAATTCTAAATGCTACTAAAATGTAAAATTGTAACATTCTAAAATTTAACTATGAGAAAGAGTCATACTGTAGAATCTTGCGCTTGAAATCAGAAAAGTCAGACGTTCTAAAAGAGTCCGGAAGAGAGTTCCATAGTTTTGAAGCCATATATGAAAAGGAGTGAAGACCATAAGTAGTAGTTTTTGTAGACGGTAGAGACAAAATATAATTTCCGCGTAGATTATAGGATACAGACCGGAAACTAAACATATTCTTTAGATAGCCTGGATAGCAGTTAAAAAACAAGCTCTTGTACAATATAATTAAGAAAGTCTGAAGGCGTCTTTTATACAGAGATTTGGAGTTAACTTTGCTAAGTAGAGAGTCATAGGGAGAATTATAATCCTGCAAGATAACTCTAAGAATTCGCTTGTTTAAAGTATCTATCTTCTCAGTACTACGTGCACCACAAAAGTGCCATACAGACGAACAATAGTTAAAATGTGGCATAATAAAAGCCTTATACAATCTTAGTAGAGTATCTTTAGAGATAAGTTTACGAAATCTTAGCATTACATTGAACTGGCCATTTATCTTCTTACAAATAGTTGATATATAATTATCAAAACGCAACCTATTGTCAATATTTATTCCAAATATATCCAAAGAATCTTTTAATGGAAAAGAGAAGGAGTGGCCTGTTTTTCCCAAGACTATAGCCTGGTGTTTTGTCTCATTTACAATCATTCCATTGCTGCGATACCACTTATTTGCAACTCTCACTTCCCGACAAATACAGTTCTCTAGAGCTACTGGGTCGACATCAGAAGAGTATAACTGATGATCGTCCGCATATGCGTGAAATTTACCTTGCGTAACCGAGTAAAACAAGTCGTTGATGAATATATTAAAAAACACAGGCCCCAAAACACTTCCTTGCGGAACTCCTCTTTTAACATCTTTCCAACTGGAAAAGGTGTCCCCAATCTTGACTCTCTGCTGTCTCCNATTTATGCAGACAGTTTCTGATGGCCTGCTTTTAGGTGTGGCAATCCTGCACAAACTTAGGTTGTTCTAGCATTATTTGGATACCGTTTGTATGACATGCATGCCACATGAAAGAACTTCCCACTTGAGCATAGTTCATTGTGACATTTCAATAACTTTTCATGGGGTTCAGCTTTCTCTTGACACACGCAGATTTTATCCAGCTTTGCTGCCTCAGCCATGTACTGATCTTTCAAATCTGGCATTTTCTTGGATTTTGGTCTTGCAAACTGGGGTAACTTTCTACAGTGTGGGTAGTACCAGAAATTTGTTACTTTCAGTTTATCAATACACAAGCAAGATGGGTGGAATATAGACACTTTGCATTCAGGATTAGCACAGGTAACTGTTTCCTCATTTGTGCTTTTTCTGCAGTGACAATCACCTGATGGCCAACTTTCCCTTGGACTTATCTGAGATTTTAAGTCCATATTTCTAGTGTACCAGCGACCTAAAATTTCTGGCAATACACAAATTCTCCAGAAAGTCTCTAGCTTAGGGATTTGTGTTTCCCAGTGTTCAATGTCTGGTAGTAGTCTTTGCTTCACAAACTGATGTGATGTTCCATCTGTGGCAAACAATGAAATCCAAATAAGCTCTCCCAGCAATATGAATTTGTTGTTGAGATTGAAAGTAATAGTCATGGTCTCTTTTTAACATAAATTCATCTCCATGTTTGTCTAAACAAGAGGCTTTCATTTTGCACATAACTGTCAAAGTCAAGGCCCACAATGCAGAAGGGGCATTTCACTTCTCCGCAGCCCTGTCCGCAACAATCACACTCACAAAGAAAATCTGGGGTTGCATGCAAAAATTGATAATTGTTATTAATGATTATCCCACATTTGGTGACTACAAAGCTCTCATGAGTCTCTTTCATGGTTTTCTCATAAGCCTCGATAGCTAGTGCTTCGTGTTTACATCCATGTTTTGTGGCTGCTGTACTAAACCGAAAAATATTTGGATAACGTATGATTGTGATCAAAGATTGTGATGGCTGTGATGGATCTGTGTGGCTGCACGGCACTTTGAAGCACCTACCCTTCCAGCCCTGTGTCTAAAAAAGGCACTTCCTCTAGCCTGGTCAACAGTGTCCCTTTTAATTGCCTTTATTTCCCCAGATAACTTTAAATCAACTTTGTAGCACTTCTGGAGTAGTTTAGGGTAAGATAAATCAAGATATTTCTTTTCATACAAATCTGGGATAGCTTTGATATCCCGGGTGGTAGAAATAAATGACTCAGAATGTGGATGGATCAAATTGAGGCAAACTGGTTTGACTCTGCACTCACTCAATGATTTGTAAAATTGCTGCAATTCATCCTTGGATGGTGGCTTTAATGCTGGCTTGTTCTCTGCAGGTGTGGGTTCATTGGACTGAGCTGCAGAACTTGATTCAGTGCTCGAGAAATTGACAGATTCTATTGACTTGTCAAGTTCACTTTTTATTTTCTTGGCCGACGCAGAATTAATATTCTTCACTCTCGTATACTCTACTTGTTTTACCGCAGAAGGTAAAAGCCATATACATTTCACCTAAGTGCATGCAAGTTTTCCATTCAATCTTGTCCAGACCTCCAGATAAAAAAGAACACTCGCGATATGAGAGCAGCATTCTCCCAGCCCAGCCATACATCCCGCACAATGCGCTGAACCAACAGTTACTTCTGTGGTTGTTATGATCCAGAGCTGCACGTGGGGGTCATTCATCCTTTGTGAATGCCTTACTTTAGCGAGAACAACAAATTTATCTTGGATTATTTGGCCAAGAACACTTGTAACAAAACCAGAAACCATTTGATTCTAGGCAAATAGGCTTCGAAAATTCTTGAATTGATCCTTAGTGTAGAACCTGGTCTCGAGCACAAGATATGACAAAATATCACAAGCTTCGACAGGAGGAAGGCATTCCAAAGTATATTTCTGTACCGGAACGAGCAAAGGATCCATGCCGATCACTGAGATCTTTTCGACATACCTTTTCTTAATACTGCCTTCCAGCGAATTGGCATAAGCGGAAAATATAAGCTTGGAATCCGCAATCGCATTGTCCGAAGACACATATTTTTCCAATTCACTGACCGCCATCTCAAGAATCACTCCTTCAACATGGCGGCGCCTCGTTTTCGAACATTTCTATGACGTCACGCGAACAGACTTTATAGCACACTTAATAAAGTTGTTAAAATAATATGATGTGAGTTCCTGTCTTAATTTGTTCCAAAAATCTGCATCAAAAGCCACTCTTTGTATGTATATGCCTTTTCTTGTGTAGAGTATAAAATCACACCATCTACAGCCTGTATCAGCCATCTGCCCTTGTACTTGTGCATAGTATTCATGATTTTTCTTTAGTTGGCAGGTATCTGTGCCTGTTTTTTCCATACAAAACTTTGGATCAGAGCAAGCATCAATTGGAGCTACATTGGCTACCTTATAAGGGCATTTCACTTCAGCTAGACCAAAAGTTTCTAAACAGCCAGGATCAATAACTTTTGCATCAGGACTGGCACCAAGAATAGGGTGAGATTTCGAAATTACAAATCCAGAGGGAAAAACTTTAACTGGGGTTCTAGCATTTTTCATGTATTTTTGATACTCCATTAATGCGACCGGCTCAAAATTTCTTCCATGCTCTACAGCTCTGTTGGAAAACTTCTTTGGATGTATCAATGTTTCTGCCAATGTATTGTGGTTTCTTTTTCTGTGGCTGATCAGATGAAATTTAGATGCAGTAAAACGATGACATCGCTGTTTGTTCCATTCCTCACAATCAGCCTGGGCCCTGGTGTTAACTTCAATGTCATTGATTTCATTTTCATCCTTTGTAAGAGATGTGATAAATTGTTGTTCTTCAGTGGAAAGTGTATCTGGAATATTCATATGTTCTTCTTCAATGTGGGGAAACCTTGGAAATTGTTCACAATTGAGTGCTTCAATTCTACGTGGCACTGAAATCAAGTCAGCTTTGGCTGAAAAATTAGATTCAGTAAATAAAAGCTGAGAGGATCCAAAGGAACCTATTGGGCATTTACCAAATTTGGTGTCCACCGTGTTTTGTTGTCCAGTATCTGATGCCATTTGAGATAGTCCCGTGTTTGCATAAATTTTACTCAAATCTTGCTTAACCCTTGGGATCCTAAGGGGGTCACTATTTTTTTCGCGAATATTGATGCTAACTAATTAAAGGGATTTCACTGTTCTAATTTAGGTAATAGCATATTCAAAGTATTGTAAGAAAGGTCATAAGAAATAATTTCTGATGGTAACAATCTTCGTCACCTGTGACATCATATATGATGACGTCATTTGACCAAATAT